CACTACTGCCTACTATCACTTCACTATAATGGTCACACATTTACAATTATTGTACAATACACTACACTTATTACTATCACTCATCACTACAACTGTCGTCTTCATCACTAGAGGAGTTCATAGGAAAAATTAATCTTAATTTTGATCATAGAATGCTAAAGTATTGCACATTAATTATGAGACTCTACTACAGTACTGATACACAGTATACAGTACTGCCTACTATCACTTCACTATAATGGTCACATATTTACAGTTATTGTACAATACAGTACACTTATTATACGTTATACTATACACTACACTTATTACTATCACTGTCATCACTAGAACTGTCGTCTTCATCACTAGATGAATTTATAGGAAAAATTAATCTTAAGTTTGATCATAGAATGCTAAAGTATTGCACACTAATTATGAGACACTCTGCATATACACAGTATACACTACTGCCTACTATCACTTCACTATAATGGTCAGACATTTACAGTTATTGTACAATACACTACACGTATTATACGTTATACTCTACACAACACTTATTACTATCACTGTCATCAGTAGAACTGTCGTCTTCATCACTAGAGGAAAAATTAATCTTAATTTTGATCATAGAATGCACACTAATTATGAGACACTCTGTATATACACAGTATACACTACCGCCTACTATCACTTCACTATAATGGTCACACATTTACAGTTATTGTACAATACATACACTTATTATACGTTATGCTATACACTACACTTATTACTATCACTGTCATCACTATAACTGTCGTCTTCATCACTAGAGGAGTTTATAGGAAAAATTAATCTTAATTTTGATCATAGAATGCTAAAGTATTGCACACTAATTATGAGACACTCTGCATATACACAGTATACACTACTGCCTACTATCACTTNTGTAAGGTACTTGTGATCACAAATAACCCACTATTTTGACACCGTTATAATATTATTTTACAATTATTCAACACAAAAATCTACGTTTGAATGCTTCGTTAACCTTCACCTTTTTTTTGTCTTATTATATAGGTATACTTATTAAATGTAGTATTAACTTTAATGAAGGCGACGAAGAAAGAAGATTGGTGTTTTGAAGGTGGGTATTGAATTCCATCGAACAGAATGAACATTTTTTAAGTCACATAAGGACCAACGAGTCGTGTTTTACTCGTCAGGGTGTCGTCAATTTCCACAACCAGCATGTGTGGGCACATGAAAATCCGCACGCAATTCGTCCGAGAAACTTTCAAGTAGAATTCAGTNTGTCGTCTTCATCACTAGAGGAGTTTATAGGAAAAATTAATCTTAATTTTGATCATAGAATGCTAAAGTATTGCACACTAATTATGAGACACTCTGGATATACACAGTATACACTACTACCTACTATCACTTTACTATAATGGTCACACATTAACAGTTATTGTACAATACACCACACCTATTATACGTTATACTATACACTACACTTATTACTATCACTGTCATCACTAGAACTGTCGTTTCACTATAATAGTCACACATTTACAGTTATTGTACAATACACTACACTTATTATACGTTATACTATACACTACAGTTATTACTATCACTGTCATCACTATAACTGTCGTCTTCATCACTAGAGGAGTTTATAGGAAAAATTAATCTTAATTTTGATCATAGAATGCTAAAGTATTGCACACTAATTATGAGACACTCTGCATATACACAGTATACACTACTGCCTACTATCACTTCACTATAATGGTCACATATTTACAGTTATTGTACAATACACTACACTTATTACTCTGTATACACTCTGTATATGTGAGACACTCTGTATATACACAGTATACACTACAGTCTACTATCACTTCACTATAATGGTCACACATTTACAGTTATTGTACAATACACTACACTTATTATACGTTGTACTATACACTACACTTATTACTATCACTGTCATCACTAGAACTGTCGTCTTCATCACTAGATGAATTTATAGGAAAAATTAATCTTAAGTTTGATCATAGAATGCTAAAGTATTGCACACTAATTACTCCGTATATACACAGTATACACTACTTCCTACTATCACTTCACTATAATGGTCACACATTTACAGTTATTGTACAATAAACTACACTTATTATACGTTATACTATACACTACACTTATTACTATCACTGCCATCAGAACTGTCGTCTTAATCACTAGAGCTGCTGTCATTTTCAAGGGGTATTATTATCAGTGGATCAATCAATAGGTACCTACATCAACATTGTGTCAAGATCCCACATGCGTCGTTTCTCTTTGTGGACATGTATAATGCATTTACTCCATGTTTCTGCTGTAACCAGATTAACCTCTTAGTGCAAGAGTAATTTTACATCCTGCAATTTAAATGTTGTATGCTTTTGTGCCACTCCATTTGTTATTTGGGGCCAGATTAACTCAATGGGATTTAGTTCTCAGTTTAGTAGGGTGGCAAGCGAAGTACTGCAGTCCCATGAACTGCAACCATTTCATACACTACATAGTTAGTGTATTGGCCTTTTTCTCTCTCCGTGATTTTCAGTAATTCGGGTTTAAGCATTGTCGTTGGCAACTTCTCTAATCGTCGACTATTCAAACCATTTTTCAAATACTTTGCTATCCATATCCTCATGATAGTCTCCTGTTCCTTGTGATTCAGAAACAATAAGTAAACCCTGTTCCAAAAATCCTGCTGTACTTCCAATTATTATTATTAGGCGCCGCCCTTTTCCAGAAGGTGACTTTAATCCAGTCGAAAATTCTTTCAGAAGTGCCTGCCATTTGCTTTGGATATTACCATCTTGCCACACTTTTGTGACCTTCATTTATCTATGTTTCGTCCGTTTAACGTATTCTACGATTTAGTTTTCTAGCTTCTAATACTTTAAATAGTTTCTTCGCCATATTCTATCAGCATACTCATTCGATTTCGTTTTATAAAACGGAAATTCATATCACGCATAATTCGCAAAAGTACCCTTCTGGATATTCTAGGCAAATTTTGCTCCTGTGAGATAGCAGCTTCATTTTTGTTTATTGTGGGAAGCTCATTTTTAAAATACCATCAATGAATTGTTCTGCGAATCGCATATTTTGTTGTATCGTCATCAACACCTATCTTTTCCCTTCCGGGAGTTTCCACCTTTTTCCGTTTCGCAGTCGAATCTTCTTTGCCACTCCTTATTGCACGATATACACTTCTCATCGACACTCTTTTTAATGAACTGCATATTTCAACTGCACCACTTACACTCATATTTTGGTTTCGCTCAATAAGCCCTTCATACACGTGTTCATCTGATGTTCCTGCCTTGTTAGATGAGGACGCTTACCATTACGAGAACACGCTATAGAGCTTGAATTACTTTCCATTAATTAAGACGACTGACTTTTCTCGCGGGTACGTTTATTTGCCTGTGCCGAGAGGACTACCCGGATCCGAATGAACGCAGCTCAATTTTCACCACCAATGATAGTGTAGAATTTGCTGCAGCAGAGGAATATCTGGTGCACGCCAAACGAAACCCAAGCATCAAACACCAATGGAAGTCTAGAATTTGCTGCAGCAGAAGATTTCCTAAAACTGTGCAGTATCGACTGCGGTGTTGTGTTCACTGCTAAAAATGGAGAACCGGATTAAAGATGAAGTCACTGCCTATTATTTTGGTATCCGACCCGACTGTAGGTAGTGTAAAGACATTTCACTTGACCATAATCTTTTTCTTAGGCATGTTAGTACTCAAACCAGACTAATCATTATAATGTTAGAACAATGAATGTGATGAAGCTTTTAATAAAAATCTATAATTAATTTTTTCAAAATATAAAAAAGGCTCTTGAGTGTCAAAATAGCTGCACCAGGGGCTTTTGCTGATATAGTATTTGAACATTTCTTTATTCTTTAACCTCTCAACAAATCAAGGTAAATATTTTTGGAATACCATGTAGGTAAGTTATCTTTAACTCTCCAGTGTTATAAAAATAAATATACATTCTTAAAAAAAACAATTTTTTTATGTCAGGAAAACCTCCTGTAGATTTATGGGTTATACTATTCATCCTATATTTCAAATTATATACTCGTAATTCCTGGGACATTGTGAAAAATAGTTTCAAATGATCAAGGTTTAAATATTTAATAATAACACAGACCCACAAAAAAAAGTTGAAAATACCTATCCTTATGTATTTCGACGCGCTGAAACCGAATCCGGAGTCAAAATTCCTCCAGTTTTTATTAAATCGAGAAAAATTACCCCAAAAGCACGGAAAATCTTCAAATTCTCGCTTGAGCACGGGCCCGAAGGTTGAGATAAACGTGAGAACCAGCACAATAAAACTATTTTATATGTATTTTGACGAGCTAAAACCGAATCCTCAGATACAATCCCTGTTTAGAAAATTCAAATTTACTATAAATGTATAAGTCATCTTTATTTAAGACATTAAGGAAATGGAACGACGGTACCAAGGACGATGGGATGTTAATATGATGGCAGATTTTTGTTGGATGCTTAAAAGGGAATCTGAGCCAGATAGCAGAAAAAGAAAAAGGTATCCACTACACTACGATAAAAAAAAAAGAGAATGTTAAGATTCGAGACAATAGCACGCGATTTTCCGTATTTTTGGGATGATTTTTGCGATTTAAAAAAAACTGGAGGATGATAGAGCAATTTTGGCTCCGGATTCGGTTTTAGCTCGTCAAAATACATATAAAATAGTCTTATTGTGCTGGTTCTCACGTTTATCTCAACCTTCCTACTTGTGCTCAAGCGAGAATTTGTAGATTTTCCGTGTTTTTGCGATGATTTTCGCGATTTAAAAAAATTGGAGGGTGATGGAGCAATTTTGACTTCGGATTCGGTTTCAGCGCGTCAAAATACATAAGGATATGTGGGTCTAGTCTCTGGTAGTTTCAACTTTTTTTTTGTGGGTCTGTGTAATTAATGTCGTTTCAGTACAACGCTTATCTAACGTCTTTAGAAACAAGCTATCCTAATATTGTTACTCTTCTTCGTGGTGGACATACTTACGAAGGACGTGAAATTCTAGGAGTTCAGGTATCATTCAGTTCAGCTAACCAAAACAATGCTGTCTTCTTGGAATCTTTAATCCACCCAAGGGAATGGTAAGTCATTTAAAGGGGGGAAATCATATTAGGGGGTTAAAAAAATAGGATTTTTTTATTGCATAAATTGTTAGTATAACTATTCAGGAGCACGCTGCCAAAATTTCAAACCGAAGTTCGTATTCATTCCGATTTTATGAGCCTAAAACCGAACGCGCTTGTTCAAGGAAGTTTAGTCACTTATTAAGCAAGAAAAGAACAAGTCCAAGCTCATTATAATGCCTATGAGGAAGAAGAAGGACTGTTATATGATGTTGAAATCGCTGATTGTTCGAAAAACACTCTACAGTGCGTTCATAATGAAGGATCAAATTAGATTAAAATTCAGGTAATTATTTTGTGGAAAAACGCTCGGACACGTCGATTAGTATTTTTAGTTGTGGATTTTTTAACATAAGAAAATTGTATATAGGGTGTCTCAAGAAGAACGTATGCAGTCATCATTGATTTTTTTAATGGAACACCCTGTATATTATACAATTTTTGAATTGTACGGTAAATTCTGAACACTTTTTGTATAACATACCATATCTCTAAAATCAGCAATTTTCGTAAAAATGATGTTTGAAATGAGATAAATGGAAAAAAAATGTTTAATCATAAAACATTATTTAAATAACAATTGCTTTATAATAAAAATGTTTAATGCTTTGTCCGTTTACTTCAATACAGTCTTGTAGTCGAAGGATTGTTTCCTGCTGAACGTTTTCAATTACCTCTGCTGGAATAAATCTTATTTCCAGTCGGACTCTCTGTTTCAGCTCATCAAGATTATTTGGTCTATTCACATAAACTTTAGATTTCAAATAACCCCATAAGAAGATATCCAAAGGGGTTAAATCTTGTGACTTCGGTGGCTACTCAATAGGACCTTTGCGTCTAATCCATTTAGTAGGGAAAGTTAAGTTATGAAATTGTCCTATTTTCCATCTTTGTTAATGATATTACGACTTACATTGACTGTCGCAAACTAGTTTATGCCTCTATCTTAACTGATGATGACTGTCTTCACCTTCAGATTCAATTGGACAAAATAGTCCTTTGGTGCGATTCAAATAATTTGCATTTAAATATCTCTAAGTGTAAAGTTGTTTCTTTTTCACGTAAACTTAAGCCCATTATAGTCAATTACAAAATTAACTCGGACGTCTTAGAGCGTACAGATACCATAAAAGATTTGGGAATTTATTTCGATAGTAACTTTACCTTTTCAAATCATATTCAATATCTGGTGTCCTCAACACTTAGTACGCTGGGCTTTGTGATTAGACAAGGTCGTGAATTCAGTGATAATGTTGTGTTGTTTTCATTATTTTACGCGTTTATCCGTCCCAAACTGGAATATTGTTCTCCGGCTTGGATTGTTTTTTATATTAACTAAGCCAGTTTAATTGATTCGGTGCAAAAAAAAGTTTTTGAAATACCTCGCATTTCGCTCAGACGGCGTATATCCTGCTCGTGGATGCGATTATAAAATACTACTAACACGTTTCAAACTCGACTCGTTACAATACACAAAGCACTTCCATAGTTTGAAATTTTTACATGCACTAGTAAACAATAAAGTAGACTGTCCCGAGATTCTAAGTCAATTGAATTTCTTAACAGTATGGTCGGCTTGCCGCTCTCCACTTACTTTTTATACTTCTGCTTCTAATACCAATGTGGGATTGAAGTCTCCTGTTTCTTTTATGTCACGCAATTATAACTTAATCTGTAACTCTTGTGATATATTCAACTGTAGCTTGCAACATCTGTACACAGCTTTTAGAAGTGTCAACAATTCATGATTGTTAACATAGGTAGTAGTTGCAGCTTTTCATTTTCTTTCTTCTTATTTTCTTTTTCATTTGTTGTTACACTATCTTATCGGTATGTTTGTTGTATATTCTTTACATTTTGTTCTGTATGCTCACATGTTAAATAATATATTATATATTTTGTCCTGTAATTGGTGGTTCACTGTTGGACAAATAATTTAAATAAATAAATAAATAATAAATAAATAAATAAATTGTCGAACTGCAATTGCGAAATGGACCATATTATGTCATTATGAGGAATATCTGGATCTTGTGGATTAGGAGACACAACAGCTAAAGCGGGGATGAGTTCAAACTGAAGAAAGTCTAAGTAGTCTTCTCAATTTAAAAAAGGTTTTCGGTTTTCGACAATACCTGCCCAAACATTTATTTTTTGACGATGCTGTGTGTGAGACTTGTGCCCAACGAGGATTTTCAGTTGCCCAGTACCTTCAGTTTTGTCTGTTTACGTGTCCATTTAAAATAAAAGTATCAGAAAAAATAATTTTTTGGGTGAAATTTAAGTTTTGACTATTATTCATCTCAATTATTTGTCCACAAAATTGCGTACCTCGGTTAAAATAGTCTTCTAATAGTTCATGTATCAATTGAACTTTATAAGGATGATATTTATTTTTTCGGAGTATTTGTGACACAGATCACGTTGACAAATTACAATTCCTGGAGATTGTTCTAACGGCTACATGGGGATTATTTACAGTTTTTAGTAAAACGTCTAGTTTAGAATCTTTTGATATTTCTGCTGGTCTTCCTTTAAGTAAATCTTCACGTTGGCCGTGCTCAGCAAATTTCAATTCAATTTTGCTGACGGTAGATCTAGTAATTGGCGGTCGATCAGGATGAATTACATTAAATAAATTACACACTTCTGGTTGAGTACGCACTCTGTCTCCAATACCAATCATCATAAGTACTTCAATACATTTTTTCTCAGATAAATGCATTTTTAAAATGAAACGTGAAACTGACAAACTGAACGCCGGTGATAGTTTAGTTTTTATTCTAACAAAATACTACATAAAAATGGTCTAAGAGGCAAGGCATGAAAAACGATTAATACGAAGAAAATTCTTTTATCTGCTCCCACTATAGTAAATAGACTATCACAGCCACACAGAAAAAAAAAGTTGGGTATACTTTTTATGCGACATATATGTTTCGTAGTAATTTGGCCTCCTGAACACAAATCTGGGGTCAGAATTGGCCCATCACGTCACAATTTTTTCCTAACCTCAAAAAACTTGTGAAAAATAGTGAAGAGTGATGAAAATTTACTGGGAAAATTTGGAAAAAAGTTTATTTCCACATCAAATAGTACATTTTTATGTAAAAGACTCTGCTGAATTCAAATCCGCTGTCAGAATTGAGCTTGAACTTGTGTTTTTTTTTCTATACCTCAAAAACCGAGCAGGAATCGCTATTTTCAAATTCTGAGCGGATTTTGACCAGATTTTGTATAAAGGGGTTTTTTGGGTCGCTGATTACGAATATGAATTCATATTGTAAAAATTCAAGATGGCTGATCCAATATGGCGGGTGTACTTTTTTGAAATCCACCGATTTCAGTAAAATTTGGCATCATAAGGATTGCTGGTTGATCTCACCTTCATTAATCACACATCTGGAGCCAGATTTTCATAAATCAAGGTAAAAGATTCCACTCCGTCTAAAAATGTGACTTCGCTTAAAAAAATGACTTAAGGACTCTACACATGTAATGATGTGTAGTGTGATGTGCTTGTTTCCATGGGACAAGACAAAAAAGTTTCTACTTTATTCTTTCATTTATTTAGTCGTGCATGGGCTTATGGTTTTCCAATCAGATTTTTTTAACTACTATGCAGTTTTCCTATGGCATTTAGATGCTTTTATTTCTTAATAATTTTAAAGTTCAAGGAAAAGGACACATTACTGCCACACAGCACATCACTGCATCTGCTTATGCCTTCAATCTAAAAATGTGACTTTGCCGAAAAAATGCCGCCTACTCGGCCTAAAATTATGACTCTGCCTACAAATTTTACCTTGATTTATGAAAATCTGGCTCCAGATGTGTGATTAATGAAGGTGAGATCAACCAGCAATCCTTATGATGCCAAATTTTACTGAAATCGGTGGATTTCAAAAAAGTACACCCGCCATATTGGATCAGCCATCTTGAATTTTTACAATGTGAATTCATATTCGTAATCAGCGACCCAAAAAACCCCTTTATACAAAATCTGGTCAAAATCCGCTCAGAATTTGAAAATAGCGATTCCTGCTCGGTTTTTTGAGGTTAGAAAAAAAACCACACGTTCTAGCTCAATTCTGACAGTGGATTTGAATTCAGCAGAGTCTTTTACATAAAAATGTACTATTTGATGTGGAAATAAATTTTTTTCCAAATTTTCCCAGTAAATTTTCATCAATTTTCACTATTTTTCACAAGTTTTTTGAGGTTAGGAAAAAATTGTGACGTGATGGGCCAATTCTGACCCCAGATTCGTGTTCAGGAGGCCAAATTACTACGAAATATATATGTCGCATAAAAAGTATACCCAACTTTTTTTTTCTGTGTGGCTGTGATTAATACATTGTTTTTAAGGAGGTAAGTGAATTTTACCGTAGAAGTGGAAGTTGCTATGGACAACGGCAGGCAAGTGAGGTAACTTACCTCCTTAGGGAAAAAAGCGATTTAGAGTTATAAATGCATAATTTATGAACAAATAGAAATATTTGATGAACATTACATTTTATTAATTAATATAAATGAATATTTATAGCAATTGTACAGTTATTACATTTAGTAACATCTATATCATAAAATCTGGATAATTATTCCCCTCGCGTTTACTAATAGTCACATTTATCTCAAAATGATTTGACCGCTCCATTTCAGTCATATTATCTGACTGATCCATTAAAACAGCATGATGCGACGTACTACTAAAAGCTATTGAAGTGTCATTGTAAAGAATCCTGTTGGCTATTTCGTTATTTAAATCGTCAGCAACATAACTTTCTGCAATTGCAATACATTAACTCCTGTATTAGCCAGTAACGTTGCCGATGTTCTTCGGAATGTATATGTTTTAGAATGGTCTAGTTTAAAAAACTGTGAAATCTTATAAGGAATCATAGAAAGGGTATTCTTGCCGACTGACTGGTTAGTAACATCTACCTGCTTGATAGCGCATAAAAGAGCGTGAAATTTCAGTTTTAATTTCCAATCTAATCTTGATATATTTCTTGAGAATTTCTAGGTGAGAAACAGAATTTTTGAAATTGATGTTGTCCAAAGTAAGTTTGCATAACTTATCAGAACGGCATGTTCCTGCAATGCCTAAGACCGTCACTACCTTTATTAACAAATATGTGTTATCGGGTGCCTGAACGAGAAAGTCGTTGACTCTTACAAAAACGTTTGAATTTTTGGGTGTATAGCCGTCATTCTTATTTTTCAAAAATGCTCTCAGCTTGGGGGTTCTTTGATATATCCACATTCTCCTATATGAAAATAGTTTACTTAATCATTGAGTATTCACTCCACAAACTCGCCGGTGACTTTAAGGTTCTTGATTCCTCCATGAAACATGCTAGCAGTGACATTTCAGAAACACCAGTATTTTTGTTCTGGCACCATTCTTTGAAATTTCTATATGGTTGTATGTAGCGCACTTTCGACTTCTATTTCACTCATTTAGAAATAAAAATTGGAACTTTTATGTACCTTTGTTTATAAACACCTTAGAAACGCAAATCTCTTATCTATGCCTTAGAAACGACAAAATCCAAGCAACCAAGGCGACTTTGCAAAATTTCGTATCAAGTCAAAATGAATTGATTAAGAAATGTCAAAAAATAATCTATATAATAATAATAATCTTTATTTCATGAACCATAAAGAACTGTGGGAGCAGATAAATTGTTATACATCACGCTTTCATCATGAACGCACTGTATATTATTGCCAACTTTCTCAAATTTCTAGTTTTCGGAAATTTTCAAACGCGTTTTTGTCGAAAAGACATTTATATGACTCAAGGGAACTCTAGCTCAAAATGTTATGAATCGATCGTTATGAACATTGAAAGTGTGTTTCTTTATGAAATTGCAAAGAACATGAACCAACAATTACGATGATGTCATAATCTTAAGGGTGTTTTTTATTGAAAGTAAGTGAAAAAAATGATGAAAATCGATACATTTTTCTCAAACACGTGTTAAAATTTCAATTTTTACAATAATTCTTACCCGCAATGGGGTTCATATTCTTAGAAAACATGTTAATAATGCAGGAAAACAACCATTTTGCTTTCAGATAAAATTTGTGACCAGACTCGGACGACGACCTTCGGTGGATAACAACCCATAACTTCGGTATTTTCAACACAACTGACCTAAAAAAATTTGTAAAAGTAGCTAAAAATATTGATAAAAATGTCAAAGTTTCATCAAATTCTAATCAATTTGTCCCATTCAAAAAAATTCATCAAAAACACTTGAAAATCAGCCTCCTAATGTGGTTTCCCCTCTTAATTTTATAAATTACTTATTTTGGTAAATCGGTTACATTAATAAGAAATAGGAAATAAAGGAGAAATTTATCACTTTTAAAAAGTTTTATTGGAAAAATACATCATGCAATAAATACCCTTTACTTTGAATGAAAAATATGAAGAACTTTTTTCAGGATCTCTGGTGCGGTGACTACGTACATATTAAATGAAATATTGACGAGTACCGACTCCGAGTTCCGCAGTTTCGCTGAAAGCTACGACTGGTATGTCTTCCCTGTGTACAACCCCGATGGATTTGTTTACACCCACACGAATGTAAGTTTATAGAAATAGACCAGGCGGGATCTGTTTCAAAACACCCATGTATGGATGTTTTATATAGTATTGCTAATTTTTGATTTAATGGCTCCAAAATGATGTAACAAAACATAATTTCACTATGCGCGCGCTTCAAAACGTGTGCTAATCTTATTATTAAACAAATAGTGAAAAAATTGGAAAAAATTCCATTTTTTTTTCTCTTTATTTCAAAAACTACCTATTCATTTTAGAGAAAAATTGAAGAAGGGAAAAAAGATTCGTAATTAAATTTTACACACAAGGTATACCTATTGTCAAATAAAAAAATACAACATAATTATTGCAAATATAGCAAAAACAACAAAAAAAGTGAATAAAATTACAATATTATTGCGATTCTTTTAAAAGTACTTATATTAGGTAGGTAGGATCTTCATACTTGGCCAAAAAAATCTTTTTGATATAATAAAACATCATACCAATTTTTATTAATATCGTTCCGATAGTTTTCGAGTAGTAATTTTACAATCCAGATTTTTGAAAAAAAAATTGAAATTTTTGCAAATTTAACTGAGCCTAAATTAAGACTTCTAGATACTTGAAAATTTTATCACATAAAAAAGGACACTCAATCTTTAAAATGCGTCCAGAAAAATTGAAATCCGTTAATTAGGAGAGCCGTGGTAATTGTTTAAAAATATATGTAGTTTTTGCGCTTATAAACAAATAGAATAACTTTATAAATTCAGTATAATAACACAGCCACACAGAAAAAAAAGTTGGGTATACTTTTTATGCGACATATATTTTTCGTAGTAATTTGGCCTCCTGAACACGAATCTGGGGTCAGAATTGGCTCATCACGTCACAATTTTTTCCTAACCTCAAAAAACTTGTGAAAAATAGTGAAAATTGATGAAAATTTACTGGGAAAATTTGGAAAAAAATTTATTTCCACATCAAATAGTACATTTTTATGTATAAACCACACTGCTGAATTCAAATCCACTGTCAGAATTGAGCTAGAACGTGAGGTTTTTTTCTAACCTCAAAAAACCGAGCAGGAATCGCTATTTTCAAATTCTGAGCGGATTTTGACCAGATTTTGTATAAAGGGGTTTTTTGGGTCGCTGATTACGAATATGAATTCACATTGTAAAAATTCAAGATGGCTGATCCAATATGGCGGGTGTACTTTTTTGAAATCCACCGATTTCAGTAAAATTTGGCATCATAAGGATTGCTGGTTGATCTCACCTTCATTAATCACACATCTGGAGCCAGATTTTCATAAATCAAGGTAAAAGATTCCACTCCGTCTAAAAATGTGACTTCGCTTAAAAAAATGACTTAAGGACTCTACACATGTAATGATGTGTAGTGTGATGTGCTTGTTTCCATGGGACAAGACAAAAAAGTTTCTACTTTATTCTTTCATTTATTTAGTCGTGCATGGGCTTATGGTTTTCCAATCAGATTTTTTTAACTACTATGCAGTTTTCCTATGGCATTTAGATGCTTTTATTTCTTAATAATTTTAAAGTTCAAGGAAAAGGACACATTACTGCCACACAGCACATCACTGCATCTGCTTATGCCTTCAATCTAAAAATGTGACTTTGCCGAAAAAATGCCGCCTACTCGGCCTAAAATTATGACTCTGCCTACAAATTTTACCTTGATTTATGAAAATCTGGCTCCAGATGTGTGATTAATGAAGGTGAGATCAACCAGCAATCCTTATGATGCCAAATTTTACTGAAATCGGTGGATTTCAAAAAAGTACACCCGCCATATTGGATCAGCCATCTTGAATTTTTACAATGTGAATTCATATTCGTAATCAGCGACCCAAAAAACCCCTTTATACAAAATCTGGTCAAAATCCGCTCAGAATTTGAAAATAGCGATTCCTGCTCGGTTTTTTGAGGTTAGAAAAAAAACCACACGTTCTAGCTCAATTCTGACAGTGGATTTGAATTCAGCAGAGTCTTTTACATAAAAATGTACTATTTGATGTGGAAATAAATTTTTTTCCAAATTTTCCCAGTAAATTTTCATCAATTTTCACTATTTTTCACAAGTTTTTTGAGGTTAGGAAAAAATTGTGACGTGATGAGCCAATTCTGACCCCAGATTCGTGTTCAGGAGGCCAAATTACTACGAAAAATATATGTCTCATAAAAAGTATACCCAACTTTTTTTTCTATGTGGCTGTGTTATTATACTGAATTTATAAAGTTATTCTATTTGTTTATAAGCGCAAAACTACACATATTTTTAAACAATTACCACGGCTCTCCTAATTAACGGATTTCAATTTTTCTGGACGCATTTTAAAGATTGAGTGTCCTTTTTTATGTGATAAAATTTTCAAATATCTAGAAGTCTTAATTTAGGCTCAGTTAAATTTGCAAAAATTTCATTTTTTTTTCAAAAATCAGGATTGTAAAATTACTACTCGAAAACTATCGGATTGATATTAATGAAAATTGGTGTGATGTTTTATTATATCTGACCCCAGATTCATGTTCAGGAGGCCAAATTACTACGAAAAATATATGTCGCATAAAAAGTATACCCAACTTTTTTTTTTCTGTGTGGCTGTGTAATTTTTTTTTAATTACCTATGTTTTTAAAGTGCCCGGAAAGACGCTATAAAAAAAACGTGGTGATTCGTTAATTGGTTCCAGAGTTATAGTCGATCAAAGTTAACCGGCATAACCCATACATTTTTCGTGAATTTTGTGTAAAATTTAATTACGAATCTTTTTTCCTCTTCAATTTATCTCTAAAATGAATAGTTTTAATTGTGTTGAAAAAAAGAAAAAATAAACGGAATATTTTCACTATTTGTTTAATAATAAGTTTAGCACAAGTTTTGAAGCGCGCGCATAGTGAAATTATGTTTTGTTATATCATTTTGGAACCATTAAAGCAAAAATTAGCGATACTATATAAAACATCTACACCAAAACAGATCCCGCCTGGTCTAAAAATGAGGCATCTGTTTTTTGATGTTAACTACAAAAGCGAATCTGTTGTCGAATAAAATCTTATAAAACATTCTTCAGGATCGTTTGTGGCGTAAAACAAGAACACCTTACACAGATTCATGCTTTGGCGTCGACGCAAACCGTAACTGGGGTTATTATTGGAATACCGGGGGTACCAGTGACGATCCCTGCTCGGAGGTCTACGGTGGTCCAACAGCCTTTTCGGAAACATCGACAAAATCTCTATCCGAGTTCATTTCCGCTATTGGTAGCAGACTTGTAGCGTACATCGGCTTCCACTCATTCGCTCAGCTGATATTAATACCTTACGGATACACAGCTGACCACCTGGACAATTACGATGAAACCGTAAGTAAAAAAAATAGACACAGAACTTGCTTAAATGATTATAAGCCACGTGATCTTTAATTTTGTATGGAACAGTAATTTTATTTCCTTCGCGTTGACAATTAAATTTCGGTAGAATTAAAAATTATAAGTAAGATCAAGATTGCATTCTGTTTCATTGATTGGTGTAATTTTCAAGAACTTTTATTTAACCAATCAGCGATCGCATTATATCGAGCGTAGAAGCTACGGTTTGCCATTGTTCATTGTAAACGAATAATTGATATTGATGACGTTAATACTTAAAGATTTCTAGTTGATAGTGTCAACCGTGGATTATAATCGTGTACAAAGGCTCTGTATTTGTCGAATCCCATTTTATATCAACACGTGTTTCAGTATCCAATTGGACTCAAAGCAGCAGAGTCACTGGCATCTCGTTATGGAACCAGCTACAACGTTGGAAACGTTGCCGAAACTATTTGTAAGTTTTAAGACAGGTGGAAATCGAAACCTGTGCAACTGTGTTATGTCAAACTGTATGAAGCGGTTGCATTTTTATCGGCCTAAGCCGTACGCGGTGTTAAATCTGTAAACCATGCCTTGTTGGTACATTATTACTTTGCTTTCTGACCAATTCAAGCTATATCTAGTTTGCTGAGTCCAGCTGGCTATTATAGGCCAGGAAAAAGCTGGGAAATGATCATTTCGCGACTTTTTGTTTCGGCAAGCTGAATTTATCACTATATAGATGCTCAATATTATGTACAATAACATATTAGTTTCCACAGTCATAAAAATGGGCGGAAAATTGTTTACAGGGTGGTTAATTGTATAATTTTTACGTAAATTCACGTTTTTCGCTTATAACTTTTTTCCGTTCATTTCCACGAGAAAACAGTAACGTGCTTTTTTTTGTCTTCAAAAGACCTACAAAGTTAGCCCTCGAGCGTCAAAAAATATCGATTAGATCAAAAGTTATAAGCAGAAGAAGTTTATTTATGACTTTTGAATTAAACATTTATAAACTGCGTTATTATTACCAGAACGTTTTGGTATAGCATCATCTCATTCCTTATCACTCTCTAATAACTTTGGAATAGGTAAGTTGAATAGTTTACAAGATATGGCCTTATAAACAAATTAACTAATTATTAGTCTGGACGATCCCGAGAATCTTCCACAATCGCACTGATTTTTTTCATGGTAGATTTCATAATAATACATTGAAATCTACATAGACAAAATAGACTGAACTGTAGAGGCAAGTCGGTGAAGCCAACCGTCAGCCAAATCTCGGCCCTGCCAGCCTCGTGCTCTTAGTCGCTGTTGGACATTCGCTGTGTCAACATTGTTACTATTTTATTAAATAACATTGTTTTCCTTTGTGCAATCATGGGACAGTGTATCGTTGACGATTGTAGTAGCAGATCTGATCGCAATAGTAACGAAATTATTAACTGATGTAAATATAAAGGCTCATATTATTAACCGGCTATTTACAATTAGTTTTTGTCACAATTGGTGTTTATTTTCATGATGGCTATTAAAAATAATTGTAAATATTGAACCTTCAACCTATAATTTCAATAATAAACATACGTTAATGTTAAATTACAGGTGATTATTACTGAATAAAATTGTATTATTTCCCCATTTTCTTGTGTTAGAATGTTGTGTTTCACGTGTTAGAACTTATTAGAGCTATTTGCGAAAAATATGTAGATATAAGAATAAATCACGAAACAAAAATATTTAACTCTCTAAAAGTTACAAAACGACATGTACTAAATAAAGTTACAATATTTAAAGGCCAATAAAGATTTTAAAGTAATGTTAGAATTTTATTTTTTATCCAAATTTTAAAAATCTTAATAATAGCTTTAGCAATTTTAATGTTTATATTCGTATATTAAAAATATATGCCGTTACATTTTGCATTAGTTAAACTAATTTTATCATTATGTTTCAGAAAAATGACAATTTAAGAAATAGAAAAAATAATAATATATTTTTTTAATAACTCCTATAAAAACAGTACA